AATCAGAAAAGAAAAGGTTGTGGTGTCTATCTATTGACCGGAGACCTGCAAACCTGCACGTCCAGAGGTGCAGCCTCTTAGCCCTGAGGCTGGAGCCTACTTGTATGAGAGGGCTCTGTACCTCCCCTGCTGAGACTGTTCAACAATTCAAGAAACAAGTAATATAGGGAACCAAAATTACCCATCTACTGGGAAGGACAGGGGTGTGTGGTTGGCTTGGTTTTGCCATGCTCTCAGACTACTTTTATATTTTCATCAAGTGTCTGCCTAGCTGTCCAAATACTACTTAAGAAGTAGCTAGAGTCCAGGTGTTACTCTGTCATTCCTTGTGTTCAGCCTGCCCTCTGAACCACTAGATGACATATTTGTGTTCATTCTCGATCTCCCTCTCTGGTGTCATTAGAGCTTTGATTCTTTTGCCATACCTCTTACAGACACTGTTTTTTTTAATTAAACTGTCTATGTCTGCTGTGGTATTTTATGCAATGCCTGCTCCTGTAAACCTGTGTGAGGTGAGTAATTGCCAGGCTGGTTCCTCAGGGGATATAGGGGAGGAATTGCCAAGTTTGTGGGTTCAGGCTAGCTTTAGGACTGAGAGAAATGTAGAGCTCTGCAGATTCACCAAGTTTCAAACAGTCCTAGGCATGCACAGAAGTAGAAGTTCAGGCCCCTGAGGTACTTGATTACAAGAAAACATAGTTACCTAAGGAATCAGGAAAGGGAGTCAAGGTTTGAGGAGCATGTGCTTGGACTTTGATATTCGCACTGCACACAAGTCCAACTGTGGGTACTTCGGCCTTTAGTGAAGTCAACCCTCAACCTCTTTGCAACTGTTTAGCCATCTTTTAATTGGAAATAATTCCCAGTCTTGTAAACCTCTAGATCAAGAACCTCCAGATACACACCAAAATAGATACGAAGTGTTTTTTAACAAGGAACTGGTATTTTATGGGATGCCTATGAAGACCTTATCTTTGAGTTTGTGGATAATTCTTGTTCTTTTAAAGGCTTATAGGTTGCTGTTCAGAACGTCAAAACACAGTAGAAAATGACCACTACGGTTTGAAATCAGAAAATAGCCTCAACTACTAAAGCAGAAAATAATTAATGTATTTTAAACTGAAAGAAATGTGTATCATTCTAGCACCTACTGCTTGCTTGCTGGATGATTTTGCATTCATGAAAGTCCCTAAAAACAAGTCTTCCAAGACACCATAGCTTCAGACCACTAACCATCACAAAGGCTGAAACAAAGCCGGAGACACTGTGGGAGTAGCAAGAGAAAGCTATAAGGAATCAGAAGCAGGACATACTTTTCTGCTTTTTTAACTCTGCACACATACATTAGCCACACATGCACAGACTCCTGTGGTAGCTGAGTGGTAGAGTTGTTTGGGAATTTAACCACTAGCCAGAGTCTGTGCAAAAACTATGACAGCCGTGCTTATCAGAACAATGACTTTTAAAGAACTTTAAAAATAATCATAACTGATTTAAGTAATTTGATCATTTGAGCATTAAAAATAGGTTTCTTACTTCAATTACAGTAATGCAGCTTTCAAGCCCATAAATCTTACAGCCAGCTACCTGTTGGAATCAAAGTTTTGCAACTGAGTTAGTCACTGTTTGCAATGTTGTTTAAAGAAAGGAAAAAATTAACCAATGGTGAAGTATGAGTGTTTCTCTGGATGGCCTGACTTGTTCTTTCATGTCTATTTTGTCCATTTAGAAATACAAAATGTCACTGTGCTGTTTTATTTCTCAGTGTAGAAAGATGTTCTCTATTGGGTTGAGGAATCAGGACCACATTTTACCATAGGGGTTATTCTCACTCGAATTTCAGCCACTTTTAGAGGACTTTGGGGCATTAGAATGCATATATTGCACTGAAGAACTGCTACGATTTTGGTGGCATTTTTTGTTTTTCAGAATAAAGAACTAATTAGAAGAGGCTGAGATTCAATTCAGCATAGAAGTCATATGCACCTTCTGTAATCTAACAAACATGCCCAGACCTAAAAACCCTTATCATTTCTAATGGAGATCTTTGATGGCTCTCAGAAAAGTGGTCCCCATTATACATTTAATAGTCTCTAAATAATTGACACTGGTTAGGGAATGAGAAAGAGTTTGAGGCTAAATAGCACGTTATTTTTCTCTGTGCTTTCTCCTGTGCCTCACTCAGTTTACAATGAAATTTAGCCACTGACTCCCACCACTGGTTTTTCTTGGAGAGAAGAGTAGGATGAAGAAACATAGTGATTAAATGTAAAAGACAACCATGCATTGCATTAGGAGCTGCATTCCATGTGTTTTGTTAACAGGAACTACAGAAAAGAATAAAAGGAGGTGCTTAGATTTACCTAATCCTTAAAGTCTAAAGCCATTCTCAATTCCTACCGTCGCTACCTCTGCCCCACATAAAAATATAGACCTTGATAGTCAAACAGGATTTTTTTAAGCTCTTTTAGTTCCAACTGGTAACACTACTGCCATGACACTCTTATTTAACATTTGTTATGCTCCCATGTGTTGAACACATGGCTAGAGACTCTTCCAGCCATCAGAATTCATGTAATCACAGCAAAGCAGTTGGCATCATAAATAAAGTGAACACGAGAACTGAAAATACATGCTTCCTTCTCATGGTAAATTAGGTTGATGAACTGGAGTTCAATACCGCTCCTCACCTAACAGCAAAAGGCTCGAGTATGGTAGACATGGACCATGAGTGTACTTGGAAAATGGTTCATTTGAACATTTCACTCTCTTGTATATGAAAATCTTGGCTTAGGACCCAAACCTGTGCTAGTCAGATACATTTGTGATTCATGGGGCCCTTCATGATGGCAATTCCACTTCCTTCACCTAGATTTCCTTTTAGTTTTCATTTAGTCTGCATGTAAGCAGCTAATTATCAGTGGCTGAACCCTTCAAGGGAACTTGTCTTCACTCATGTTTGGAATCTGTCATTGACTCTCAGCACCACAGACAGGCAGACCTTTTAAGGGACACAGTAATTTTTTATTTAAAAAGAAGACTTCTTATTTGAGATCATTCTTGAATATGATTCTTTTTCAAGTGTATTGAAGGTAATTGCATGTCTTCAAACAAAAGTAAATTTTTAAGTGTGTGCATATGTATCCATGTGGCAATGGAGTCAATATGTTCTTTTTGGTTTTTACTGTTGATGTCTTTCCTTTAGGGCGTATTGGATTGCCATCCTATTTGTATCAAACACAGCAGAAATATAGGTCAATCTAATTGTCAGTTCCATTAGCCTGGAATGTGTCTCAAAATTAGAGATAATGTCCTCTCTTTCCCTGATGGCCCTGATAGTTTCTGGCTTGGATGGAGAGGTACCTTAGATCTTACCTCAAGCACATTTAGCTAATAAAATAGTGAACATACTCCTTTCCCCTGTGGTTCATGTGAAACTGTACTTTCCTTGGACATTTCAAATTTTTGTGGGGTTGTGGTAGCATCTTCTGAATCTTCCTACCTTCCCCTTCTCCTTCCATAAATCTGAGTATGTGACTTTGACTGACAAGTTATCTTTGAACTCTTTGTCCTACAGACCCAGACACTGGTGATCTGTATATTTAAAAAAAAAAAAAAAAAAGTAATTTCATAAAAATTACATTATAAGTGTTAAAGCACTACAAATGAGGTCAGAGTTGGTTTAATGAGCTTACCAGCAAACAAGCCAGAAAATTCCAGGTTTGTCTGGGGTTGATGTTATTACTGGCTTTTTCCAACAAATGTACATGTTAAAAAATTAGGTTTTGTACAGCACAAAAATGAAAACAAAGTCTTTTCAACACTTCCACAAAGCTACTGGTTAGAGGCCTGGTTTGAGGGCAAGGACTCAAGTCTCCTCTTCATCATCAAAAATATACCTGTCTTCATCCTCAGCTGCTGACATTTTGAAACAAAGGGGCTTGAGTGATACTATTTCCACAACAAAGCCAAAAATTTAATTGACTTAGTAGTCATCTTTCTGCCTGTGCCTTTCTTCAGTTTAACAGATGAAGATGCTTTTAATCATATTTTCATAAAATAAGCTTCAGATATCTTTACTTGCAATCCTGTAAGTGACTCTTGGGACTCTGACATCAGATTCCTGGAACTATTTCCAAGTTTCTTTGGGTTGCTCTTGAGTTTCTGAATAGACCAGCAGCATCATTTTGTTAGGTGAATGCAAATGTGCCAATATATAGAAGCATATCATTATTTATCCTCCTTAGTAATTCACTAAACATTTTTATATTACTTTCTTCTGTGGGTTAACATATTTATATTCTTCATTAGCGAGTTTATTATCAGATTATATTATCTTTTAAAAAGTGTATGTTAGTGCATGTGTGTGTGTGTGTGTGTGTGTGTGTGTGCATACACACATTGCACCCCCAGAGTAAGTTTTGTCTTACAAATCAAATACTATAATATGATCAGTTACACAGTGTTTTTTTTAAACCAGGGTCATAAATATTTCTTTACCAGACAAAACCAATGTTGCATGGCAATACACTTTATTTTGTATAGCTTCTTTCAAGGACATTGTCTCAAATACGTCAGAGGTAATTAACACAGTTGCGGGTTTTAAAATACTCTAAAAACAGTTTTAATTTAATGAAAATTCTAAACAACAGCATCAATAGACATGCTTCTTAGCTCACATGCATCATAAATGTGTAAGGGCAATTACACCTGCAAGAGCTGTGCAGCTATTTAGGTTCTTTTATCTATTGGTTTGATGAAGTGCGCTCTTAGCGAGGGGAATAGTTGGCATCGTTACTCATTGATTCTGAAAGATGATTCTTTATAAAACCTACATATACATGTTAGGACTCTTGATGGAGAAGTAGAAGGGACAAGGTTTGGTTTTTTGTTTTTTTGTTTGTTTGTGTTTTTGTTTGTGGGGTTTTGTGTGGTTTTGTGGGGTTTTTTGCTTGTTTTTTCTTTTTTTTCCTTTTTTTTTTTTTTAATCAACATGGGACAACCAATCCTAGGACAGTAAGACAGCTCTACTATGAAACTGAAATTAGAATAATCAATCTCATTATCATGGTGTAAGAGCTGTGAAATTATTAGAATTTCACAATAGTGCTATTGAGTTTTCCTGGTGAAACACTCAAGCTGCCCGATGGACTCAGCAGACAGCTTCTTACCAGCATGCATTTGACTTCTTCCAGTACACACTCCTTATAAGACACACCATTTTGTGCAATCTAAAGGTTTTTGGGTTTTTTTTGCTTGCATTTAAAGACAAAATCACCTCTGAATTGTGATATTTTTCCTTTGTCTGCACTATGCAGTTCTACCATGCACAGGAGGACAGCTGCTCCGGCCCCACCTGGGTCACAGGCAGCATCCAGGGATCTCTGCTCTGGTCAGTTTGCTGTTCTGGATTATCACAACATCCCTACGAAGACTGTAGTGACCTAAAGTGCTTCAAGAAATTAGATGTGGGATCACTGATACTATTAATCAAAAAACGCTTCTTTGCCCCTCTCTTTTTAAGCCCCCTATTTACTGTACATACTTCCTTTTACTATGTACTGGTCCTTAATAAGAGCTTAAAAACAGAATTAATTGCCATTATAGTTGCTTCATTTTTGGAATTAAAATGGATTTTATTGAAGCCAATAAGGACAGGGCTAATACAGAAATATATATACCTATTGCTGGTTTTGGAGACAACCTTTGCAGTTCTTCAACTCTCAATACCTGCATGAAGACTAAGCAGGAGTGCAGATAAAAAGAGTAAGCTTAAGGAGCAGAGATTACAAGTTCTGTTAGATGACTTGCTCCCATCCTGTTCCAGGCCAGTAGGAGGCAGCTCTGTGATTCATAGAAATTCCTCAGTTTTGTGTCATCTGTGAATATAAACCCCACTGCATTACATACTATTTAGTTTTCTCTTCCAGATTTTTTTTAAAGAAGGAACTATGATGAAAGACATGATCGTTCATCCTAAAATGTTACAGAGTTTTGCAATCTACCATAAATGACATGAGAGGGCTGACTCTCTACATACATAATTTATTACCAAGTGGTGGGACAAAAAAAGCAAATGTTATTGACAGTCATTTTTGTGCCATCCTGTTAACTTTAATCTTGTGTGGCAAGGAACTTTAGTTTCTTATCTGTTTTGTTTTGGTGGTTTTGTTTTTTTTTCCTAAGTGGTCATCATTATTTTACTGTGTCTTTCTGTAGGATTGGAAAGGAAACTACTTCTTTTTCCACAGATTTCAAGTTCAAAGCTGTAAATTAAGGCTCTTTTCTATAATTCCAATGCTCCATGCACATGGTTTTAAATATTCAGATGTGTTCTGAAAATAAAAAAAATTTAGGTAATTTTATATTCTCCTCTTTCAGAAAGGGACAACTCTGGAATATAAACGCTCTTCAATCTCCTAGGGGCAAAAAGGCAATTTAAGCTTCCCAGAACAACTTCAAGAGCAGTGATAGCTACCAGTGTTATTAGAGTAGCATAATTTTTCAGAAGATCAACTGTAATGACCTCCATAGCTTGGATTTAGATTCAGAGGTTGTTGATACAACCTTATTAACACAGACAAACGACTCCATCTTCACTTATAATATCACCTGGAGGCATAATTTAGGAACGCTAAAATGCACAAATTCTACTGTTTCTAAGACAAGGAACAGTGGGGGAGATTCCACATAACAGTTCCATTGATAAAGAAGAAAGATGTGCAAGTGTTCAGGAAAGTTAAGGGCATGGAATGATTAAAACTAACAGGAGAAAATATTCCAGTGAATAGAGTCAAAAAGCAGTTCTTTAATTTTTAAATTTGCACAGCAATAACAGAGACAAATGAGCCTCTGAAATATTTTGGAAATGTCACTTTGCAAACCTTGTAGATTGCTTAAATGTTTATTAAAATGGACCAAAAGCCAAAATTCTCTCGTAAAATAAATACTTTGTCTTTGCTAAGTAACAATATTTGTGAACAAAACATAAAACTGTAATTTTCATGTGTCAAACACAGTAACATTTAAGATTAAATGTTGGAGTCAGACTGGGCATTTTTTCGTCTTCCTATTTACAAGCTGCTCATTAGGACCATTTACCTCACGTTAGCTATTAAAATGACTAACATTTTTAAAGTTTGCTCCATGACTAAAATAAAAATAACAGAAATGTCCTTTTACCGTAACTTAACAAAAAGCAGAACCATATTTTTGTTATCTAGAACATACTGTTATAAATACAGCTGTTTTTCATCTACAGTTGTATAAATAATAAGCATGCTGCCATTCACAAGGATTTTCATAGATGATTATGTATAAGCAATATTACAATCTAGCAGAGGATAGCATGAGTTTTTATCTTTCATTTTTACTCTACTTATTCAGGACCTTTGTCTTCATCTGAAAATTGTGGAACAGACTTCTTTGCTACAACATTATCCAGTCGCTGTCCTTGCAGATAGGGGTTCACACTCTGAAAAAGTTTAAAAATTATTTAAACTTATTAGAAACAGGGAAACATATAAAAGGTAACTAGGCTTAGTAAATGTATTTATGCATTTCTTTTCTGTCAAATACTTGCAGACTGGGAAAAAAAAATTGCTTCCAGAGATTAAATCTAAAACTGTTTTATTTCCACAATATTTTTTGGTGCAAGAATTTAATTCAATCCACTGAAAGGAATACAAGTGAAGGAGGACTAGCAAGAATATAGGACAATCTGAATTAAACACTGCCTTTTTGCTCCATACCTCCTTTCCTCAGATCATCAGAGAAACCACAGCAGATCTAACTCCCTAATTCTTGAGGCGGGACAGAACTTGCTAGAGAAGTAGAGGTAAGCTTTAGCTTAAATCACTAGATGTTGGTGGACATTGTGCTGAGAGACGAGTTAGAGACCACCAAACCATTTTGACCACAGTCTCTTCTTCAGCCCATCTCCTCTCCAGGAAACCCCTCCTTGCTTCCTCTCTTGATGCTGAGATAAAAAAACTGGCACAAAAGCAGAGCCAAGCAAGGTTTTGGCATAGAAAATGGCTCTCATACTGCTGCCAGAACAAGGGAATGCTGGAAAGAAGATCCCTGGAGAGGGTTTAGCTTCACTTTGCACTGTGGAAGTAGCACAATGTGAGGCTGAAGATGAACAGATCCTGTCTCAAAACTGTTTGGAGATTGCAGATGAAGTAATATAGAAAGCCTATGCTTGAATTTTCATCTATATCAATGGAATAAAATGTATTTACCCTATTTACAAATAGCAAGCAGTTTAGTGGCACTTCAGTATCAAATATCATTTACACCTGCCTTCTGGCTTCTTACAGTGTCTGAATAAACAAAATTCAAGTATATACTTTCTCTTTCACAGATATAGACAAAATTTCTAGGCTTTTGATGCCATAAAAATTGTTTGCTTAAGGACAAACTTTGGAGGAATGCAAATTTTCCAGTATCTCCTGATTCTTGTCAGGCTGACTCTGTTACAGAAATTATTTTTCTTGAGATATTTCTGTGGTTCTTTCACCAGAACTTAGGAAACAAAACATAGCAGCAACAAAAAAAAGGCATTCAAAATAGGCACGAAATATTTATTTTCAAATATCCCAAGTATTTCTTGAATCTCTGGAAAAGATTTGGGGTTTTTCTGCCTTCAAGTTTAAGCCCTTGGGTTTCTCCAGATTTGTGGATGCCCTTTTGCTCACTGCCATTGGTTTTTGAGTGTTTTGCCTGCTGCTAGTGAAAACATAAAAATATTAAGAACCAGAAATGAATGTGGAAAAATCCTTGAAAATAAACTAACTCTAATTTAATGCTTTAAATTGTTAGAAATAAGACATATGTAAATGATTTGTTTGTGTTTGTTTAAAGAAGTTCTGTTTAATGTTAATTTAGTGAAATTCAACTGTTGCATAAACTTCTAGGAATTATTTTAGATTCTTAGGAAGATTAATTGGTCTTTTTTTTGGAATGGTACTTGCTTGCTACTTTTTGAAATAAAGTAGAAGGGAATGAGACTACATAAAAACGTAAATCCTTCTCAACAGACAAAAGAAAACAAAATATAATGTAAAATATTTTGGCTGATTTGTTAAAAAAATGTTTAATCCTATGCAGCTGTGCAGAATTCAAAGCAATGCAAGTTCCCGAGCACCTTTGTGCACAGCTCTGAGCCCACAGCGATGTGACTCAAGGACTACAGAAGTGCTCCTGACACTTTGGGGTATTATAATATATTCTGGACAGAACTAGGCTCATGCACAGAAATGTAAAAAAGGGGAAGATTGCTAATTAAAATTAGACGTCATATAGGCTTCCTTGTCTTGCACTACCAGCGCTACCAAAAAAATAGCACAGTAGCAAATGGTAAATACACACCTTGGCTGTATGTACTGATTATGTGTATATGTGCTTGCACGTGTATTTATATGCATACATATAAATATATGAATATGCAACACGTATTTAGAATATGTGGTATGCTAGACCTCAGTAGTGCCTCTGTGACTGTTACACTATAGCACTGCACATAGACACAACAGAGTTACCCACATGGTTCCACAGGACTTGTTTTAAGCTAAAATGGGGACAATCAGACCCAAAAGACCAATTTGTTGCAAGATTCTGAAACTAAGTCTGTGCAGAAGAGCATGGAAGAGGGGCAGGGAGTACAGAAGGCAGGAGTGGAGTCGGGTAGACATTTAGCTTTCTGGAAAAATACACTCTGCAGCTGACACCTCTAGGTTACCCTTCTGCTGACAAAGTGTTCATTAAAGCCTTAGTAATCATTACAGTATTATTCTAAAATACTTTAAATTCTAATGAATTTACCATTAGGTGACGTGCCCGTGCTAGCAAAATAAATCTGCTGCAAAGCAAGACACTGAAGCTTCATCCTCAAAATTCTGGGCTACCCCTGGCCATGTAGCTGTCCTGTCTCCAGCAATTTCTTGTTTTGTAATCAATTACATCAGTCATCTCACAGATAGAAAGTCTTTCTTTTTTTCATTTTTTTTCTCTCATGTATATATTGCATGAGTTCCACTTTAACATGTTGTTCTAGCTATTAATAAATATTCCATGAAACTTAAAAATTAAAATCAGGTGTCTACCCTTTTTCCTTTTCCACTAACAAACTAAAAAATCATATGTAAGCAGGAGGCAGACACTCAGATCAGATCAGATCATTACTCATGGTTGAACAGTGTTGATTGCCAGTGATGTGTGAATTTGTAAGAAATCAACTTATCTTCTCTCTTTCTGGTAAACACTAGAAGTTTGAGAGTTAAATAAATAAATAATCTTCACTTATGCTAGCTATTTTGAATTAATTTTACTTCATTTGCAGTATAAACTGTGCTGTCATATTTTAAAAAGCTACTTTCTGGCAGAGAGCTAGACTTTTTAGAAAAACAGTACACCAGCAGCAAAGCTAAAGACTGACTCTGCCTGAAAATGATTTTTTTTTTATAAAAGAAAGGCTGATGCTACCAAAAAAAGAGATTGTAGTGAAACAGATTGTGCAGACATTCTCTGGGATACGTGGATTGCCTTCCTTGTTCCAGGAGCAGAACAATGAGAACCTAGTCATCTTTGTCTTTCAAGCAAGTGGGACATAGAGATAGAAGTTTCATCCAAGATAAACTTTGCTAAAGAACCACTTCTAGTGTCATTTCCACCCAAAAAACATATTCACATGCATAGACAGTGGTAACTAAATTTACTAATATTTTTGTTAGGGAACTTTTAAATTTTCTTTTTGAGACAAATAAATAATTTTAAACTGTTTTATGCAGATAGGATCAATTTTAAAACACAGATAATATGAACTTCTATAGTTAATGTTCTACATTGAAGTGCATCTTCTGAAAGTAGAAGGCTGTCAAGGGAAATAAATCTTGTACCCAGTGTACAGTCCCGAAGCTGGCTATAGTAGTTTATCACAGAGATTCTCTGACTTTACACATTACCTAAGGTATAACACGAATGCATTAGATTAACTCTTCATTTCAACAATATGATTTTAATTCTCTCTAGATTACACAAGGTGAGAAAGGATTCCAATAGTTACCCTCTTTCTTCTTTTTGGGCCACCACTGATTTTTTCAAAGAGTAAATTCTTGCTCTGAAAGGGAAAAAAAATAAACCAACCATCAAATTCATTACTCTTTTTTTAAAATACTATTTTTGATGTTAAATATTAGCAAGTTTGGAGGGGTGTGCAGTTTTATGGGAAAGATAAAGCACAAATAAATATTTGGATATTCCTGCTAACATTTGAAGTTCTTCAGGAGCAGTCACAGCCTTATCAACAATTTAAAAGCCAGTAACAGTAATTTTCCACTATGTTGCATTATGTTATCACCCATGTTGAGGCAATGAGTGTTTCAAGTACATGGCGGTATAATGATACAGTCTGAATATTCCCCATCACATGATACAAGCCATAAATACATATATTCTATTTTTTTTTAAAAAAAAAGGTAGAAAGAAAAAGGGAAAAAAAAAATGGGAGGGAGAGGAAGCAGGAGTCCTGCCTGTGGTATATCTTTTTATACATTTGAAGTGACAGAAGAACAGGAGCAAAAAAATATTTGCTTTATAAGGGATTTTCTAATTCCTTTTAAAAACAGCAATAGGCGTCATTCCTACTGTTTTGTTGTCTTTGCTTATTCCCTTCCAGATATCAACACTTCCCAGTGCAAAGTTCTGTTGAAAGGAGTTCAGCGCCAACTCTTCCTTTGTTTAAGTAGTGCCCTCAATAAAGTTTCTAAAACCCATTTAGTCTATAACATTTTTAATGGCAAACCTTTTAAAAATTGCCAGAAACATCTTGGCAGAAGAGAAAGTTATGATCATGAGAAAAGAAAAAAGAAAAAACCCCAACACAAAAAAGAAAACTCTGACCATAGTTTACATAAGTGCATCCACATATTGTTGTATTTCTTACAAGTAGTGAATTCTAATAAAGTCTGGAACAACACACACATGCTCACCACATTTTGTTTCAATTGTATATTATGAAGGAAACCAAAACCAAACCCTAACCTGAGAATAGAAGAAGAGAAGAATTACATGTATAAAAGCAGAAGACTGTATAAACAAGGCCATTAATTCTGCTATAAACAACTGACCTAACATTGATTATATAAATAGAAAGTGTAATTCTAGCGCAAGACAAATTCACCAAACACTTCTACCCTCTCTGCAGCCTTGATATGAGAAAAAACAAACATTTTTGAGTGTTACAATGAAATCTGCCAAAATTGTCTGTTTTGTACTTCTCATGTTCATTAAACCCCAAATTCACAAGGCCTATCTCTTGCCCAACCTCAGTTATTTTGTCTGAGCTGTGCCAAAAAGGAATAGAGATGAAGTTGGCCAAGGGGGACATTCTTGGCTAGTCATTTATGCAAACTCACTTCAGGAAAACTTAAATTTAACACTTGAAGGAAACTCTCACATTTGCATTAATTATTCTCTTTAGGAAACAAAGCACCACCAAAGCCTTTCTTTGTAAACTCTTTGACCTATATGTTTCATGAGAGGAAAAATGGTGTTTCTGAAACAAAAAGAATTTCATTAACTACTGGGCCTAACATTTCTTTCCCTTAGAAAAATTCCTTACAATTGAACTGTTCCTGGTCAAGAAAATCATATTTTGTTTAGTCTGCTTGGGAATGTTTTAAGACCATAACTACTGCTTCAGCATTATGTGGAGTACAAAGCAAATAAGGTTATGGAACATGAGCTAAGAACATACTTGTATGGTAATAACAACCCTGAAAATATGTTCCACTGCGTAATGGCCTGATCTCATCAGCCACCAAAATTTGCCTGTGCAGTGCCCATCCTTCACCAAGAGGTTGTTAGGAATGAAGGCACAGAGTGTGCCCAGTTAAAGATATAGGTCATCTGGAGATATGCTGCATATGATTTGCTACTTTCCTATCACTCTTGGAACTTCCTTTGCACCCTCCTGGCTCCTTGGATTAGGGTACTACAGGCTGGGGTTTGGGTGGGAAAAAAATCAGAAGTTAAAATGCTTACAACCAACTAACTAATGCCAGAGAGATTTACTCTTTGGAGTATTTCAGATTGCACCAAATGTTCAAGTCAGTATTAATCAACAATTCTGTAACGTGCACCTGCACAACTATTGAGCAAAACTGAAAAGCAACAGCAAAGTTGTACCCTTTCAGGAGGGCTTTTTTTTTTGAGTCAATTTCCAGTGTTGTCAGGAATATCAAGCATGAAAATTTCTATCACATCAAGCATATTACACTGAATTATACAATCTGTGCTGTCTAAAATAGAAGAGGGGAACCAGACCTGTCATAACATGTCTTAATAATCACCATTACCATCCAGATATTTAGCAATATAAGTTGGTAAAGACAGATGCACTTAGGGCTGTTCACTATAACTGTGGTTGGAGTAAAATAAATTCTGAGAGACTAGTTCAGGTTTCTATTAAAATTAGGAAGCCAGAGATAGTAACTAAAACAATTATTTCACCTTTATAGAATATTTTAAGCCCTCCTTCCCATTTGCCGTTCTTTGTACTGTCTTGGATCCCTCCACTGTGACTGATAAGTCAGACTAACATTATTTCTATCCTTAGAGTGAAACATCATCCATTGCTTCAGTACAAAGGAGTGTTTCTGAAAAACATAGTTGGTTTTAATTTTCTGTTTGTACTGATACTGGTGTCAGAAAACACAGCTAACTTCCCTTCTCTTTTCAACCCCTACATGTGGTACTGGTTAACACCTTGGGTTTCAATAAATAACAACTTACATATAAGTGGGTTTTAGATTTGTATTGTAAATTGTATACTGTAAATGATCTTTGGGAAAGTCTTTCTGGATGACAACCACACATCTTCAAACCATCTAAAGAGATGAGTTGCAAAAAAGGCAGACTGAAATGGAAAATATCTGTGTCCAAGGAAAAGTCTGAACTGAGGGGAAAAAACCCCTGAAATCTTAGAAACTATACTTGTACACTAGGGTAGCTACCTCCAAAAGTCCCTCATCTTACTATTTGCACTGTCCCCTCTATGTTGTCCCCATATGAGGACAAGAAAAAAAAAGAGTCTTAGAGGCTGGGAATGAAAGTATAAGCTTGCATCTCACTCTATAAACAGAGTCTGTTCCTGAGACTTCCCACAGGTCAGCATATTAATATATGAGGAGTTGTTCAAAATACATAAAAATTTTTCCTCTTTCTTCCCACTCCTAACCCAGTACACATTTCTCATGATTTACATATTTATATCTTCATATGTATTAGCAGTATTTACACATAATATTTAGCATCTACATGGAATCATATACTTTGCTGCATGAGACAGCTTCTAGACTTGCTTGGTCCTTACAAAGTGTGTCTGTTATTCACAGGGTACTGCAGAGGTCTCACACTTTTCAAGCATGACAGTCTATCACCAAAACAAACCAATCAACCTGTTTCTGTCCCATTAAAGCAAGCAGGTCTTTTTTTTCCTCACCCGCTAATGTAATTTGGATTTTACTGTTGCTATGCTAAGGAATGCATGTGGGGTCCTGGAAAGGACAAGTCACTGGGAACTGTAACAGTGCCTAAACTGCACTGTGGAAGGAAAAGGCAGGAGAAAGGCTCCCCCAGGAGCACAGGGCAGCCCACATGGTTCCAGGAGACACGTTGGCTCCGAGGGTTTCAGATGGTTGGGGGCAGTGGGAGGATAGGATGCACACAGTTACCAGCTGGGCAGCCCACAGCCAGCTGTGTTGGTCATTTACAACCTAATGCAGATGGCAGTGAGTGACCTAAAAGATCTGATCTACTTTATCTCTCTTTTATGAAGTCTCAAACAAATAATTTTTAGAGTGCTTCTCTGATTTTTACAGAGAGTTAAAAATAACAAAACCAGCCATAAAAAGATACCACTGTATTTATATTTTTAACATGTAGTAATATACAATGAGGAGGTAATGAGGCAATTCTCCTGGATCTCGGCAGAACATTTGCTCATGCACATGACCAGCTGTTTCATCTCTAATTAGAAAGATCTGGAATTGGCTACGCTGCAGTTAAATGTGATTACTATTTAGTACCTAAGAGTCTGTTTTAATCCATGCATGAGCAGCTTTTTCCCCTGAATTAGTAGTGATGGATGGAGATACAAAAAAAAGTCCAGGATTCACTAATGATTAACTACCATTTATTAAGTATATATGTTGCTGATGACAACACACTTGACTCTGAAATAGTTCTAGAGGCCAAAGATTTACAGAAGTGCTTTTATAGTCTTCAAAATGGTATTATGAAAGTAAAGTGAATTCTTATGAATAATAAGAAAATTAACAGCCTTATCTGGCATGAATAAGAAAGTTCACCATCTGGTGTTTTTTTTAGATGAAAACTTTTGATGATAATTACTGACACAAGTCTCCAAAATTTAGATTTTTGGCATGATTCTCTCCAGAAATTTAGCACTCACATAAGTAATTAAGACTATAAATCTTACACTGGTTTGATTATGAATGATGAATCATTGTCTCAAAATTGCAGCAAGAGAACAGGCTGCCAAACATGTCCATTTATCGATATATGCTTACAAAGCACTGGTTTAGGGCAATCTTAAGTAAAGTGTTATAGCAATGTAAAATGAGATTTCATTATTTGCTCCAGAAGCATAAATTATGATTATTGTTATTGTTTTCTTGGCGCCTGAAGAGGGATTTGGGATTGGAGATTTTAACTGATGTAATCTAAGATTAAGTGGCAGAGCTTTCTTTGGAGCCTTTAGCCTGCAGAAATAGTCTAGCTGCAGTTATTATAGTCTTTGTATGCTTAGAGCAAGATTTCTGCCCTTAGTGTATCTCACTGTACTTTTTATATGTGATGTGTCAAAGATATTTTCGACATAGTGCACAAGCTGAGCAGAGGAAGAAGCAGCATCAAGTCCTCAAAAATCCTTAAGGTAGAGGGGATTCTTTGGAGCAAGCTGTCTGGTTCTAGATTTTTTAAAGTGTTTAGGCATTGCTGCCCTCCATCTTTTTTTCTTTTCTTTCTATTTTTTATCTAAGTAGGTGAACAATGAACCTGGATATTCTTTCGGATTAGGGCCCTGTTATGTTTTGAAATCTTGTCCTAAGATCTGCACTAATTTTGGTTACTTATTCACTGCAGTTTGAAATGTGTTTTTTTGCATTAATCAAGTACATACATAGCTGTCATGCTTTGGGGCAGGTAATAAAACAAGGATTTCTACTTTCTATTTTCTCTGGAGTGTGTATCAATCATAAGCACTATTTCTGTACTTTTCAGGGCAAGTTCACCTTTTTTGAGCAGTTTCCCTTAGGGTGATAAATTTTCCAGCAATAAGGCCAATATTTTCCTCGTGGTTTCACAGTATCACACACAGCAGACTATATTCAGTTTCCCATGCAAAAAAATAAGCAAGAAGCATGTACTCACCCACTTGCCCACGTTGGGGTAGTCATGCTCCGGATCAAAAAGGTGTTGGTGCAGCTGGTATTCCCTGCTGAACTCTGCTGTGTCAGGGGTGTTTTCTAGACACCCATCATCAACTGCAAAAGTATGTTAGAAAGCACTGAGTGCTTAGTAGCTTTGAAACACACAATACGTGCCACATCAGTCATCAAATTTCTTAAATGCAATCATGCAGTTAAAAAAAAATAAAGAACTGGATGACTAGAAAATACTAGTTTCCTTTTCTTTTGAAATGAATTTGTCAGGATGTATTTAATTTAAAAAAAAAACCAAAACCTTGCAACTTAATGAAACTTCAAAACTAAACAAAATTTTTTTTCCAAGCTGTTCTCCTCCTTATGTTTTTCTTTTCAATATTGCACTGATTTTATGTAGAATTGCATCCTGCTCTTATTCAGAAGGGCTCTTCTTTTCTTTTTTAAATCCTCACAGGCAGTTTTAGAAATTGTTTAAGCAATACTTTTGAAGGTCACGTTAAACACTGCTGTGAACAAAAGACTGAATTTCCTTCACTGAGTAGCTCTTCATGGAGCTCCATTTCTAGTGTGCTACTTTGTTCAAATTGGTATCATAAGATCTCATAAAAATGCAATGTGGCAGAAGTTTTATGATGAAGACATTTCTGCAGATTGGTAACTAATCTGATTGGTCCAGAAACCTCCTTTAACCACAACTGATGGTTCCGTAGACAGTGTCATGTCAAGGTAATACCCATTTAAAAATCAACTTACAGTCTTTTTACCAAAACAAGTCATCTTAGATTAAACAAAGTTTCAGCAACTTGGGCCCAGAGTATTTTTTTGGATAGAGTCTGCTCCTGGAGCTCTCTCTGCTTTGCCCGCATAGGGAACTTGCAGTCCAAGTTCTCTCAGACACACCAAAGGAGATCCTTCCAGCCAGGGCATGATGCTGGACATCCAAACAGCTACATCTGCCAGAACACAGGCACTCTGGAGCACACACCTGTGGACTTTCCCTTTTGTGCTTGTGTGTCATCATGAGAAAAGATTTGCAGATAGATTATTTTTTTCCCTTAGATGTGGGAAACAATAAAGGCTTAACTTAAAATTGAGTTGATTCAATGACCTGACAAGGTTATTCTGAGTTCAACAGATCCTGCTTTCCCTATTTGCTCCTTAGGATGGGGAAAAAATTAAGCTGCCAATAGAAAACAGGGGAAAACTACACATATTGGTGAAGTAACTCAGAAATCATTAAAGCACTTAGAAATTATTTCAGTCCCAGCAGGGACAAGGTTATCTCAAGAGAGAAACAGGTGACAAGAGAGGTGTGGTAAATCTTCTCAGAGCATGCATGTCTTTTGCTAGAAAACACAAAGGGCAACAACTGGACATATGTGTGCCCTCTGTGACTGCTAATCTGAAAGTCTTCGAGCACAAGTGCTCCAGGCTTATGTATTCCTGCTGTGGAATGTGCATATGTAGACAGTGACTGGAAAAATTGTTTTCCATTAAGCAAATCCACAGACCTGATTGAGGAAGGCCTCTGGAAATTTGTATGCATAATACAGTCAGCACTTGAATTTCCATTTAAGGCTCTGAAAAACATTTTACTCTAATCCTAGTAGATACTATCTTCACTCACAGCATTACCTACGGCAGAGCCATTTATCTGAGCAGGCAGCACTTCCCTAAGAATTCCCCCTGTGTTCAGATCTGACTGTATTAGCTTAGCTAACAACTATTATTTTGCCTAAGAAAGAAAAATTGAAGGGATTTTCAAAGACATTTCCCTGGATGCCATTTTTTAATTTATTTATCTAATCACTAACAGAGGTCTAATGGGCAAGCACAGAAGATAAAAAGTCTCTGTGTGTGCTTGTGTTTGTGAGAAAACCTAAACCCATCATTTGCAACCTGTCAAACAGCTGTATTGAAAAAATTGGAAGTGGAGGTATCATTTCAGAAGAGATGTAGACATCATCACCAAATGGGCTGTAATAGAAAACAGTAAGGAAGGGCTATTTGAAATTTTGTCAAATTTTTGAATGAAACGTAAAAATGCTTCACAAAATCTTCCATGACAAATATTATTTTTTGATGAATTCTAAGCTAGTTAGAACATTTTTAAACAAGAATACAGACAACTGTTCTGCATTATCCAAATAACATAAAAGAAGACTAAACAGAAAACATTTTGAAAGGATATCTTAGCTTACAAATAAAAAATGAGAGAAAAATAGAGTGCTCATTCCGAGTTCGAGCTCCCAAGGCAGCCAAGGAGTGTTTTACTACTGCTTTCAGTACTGGAAATCATTCCTTGGCTCAGATAGCAGCAAAATGATCAATTCTCTTAGAGTATGTCTATATCGTGCACATGCAGAGCTACTTTAGTGATCCTTCAGCAGGGCTGGGTAAATGCGCTGTTGCAAGCTGAGGGACACACTGGATGTCTGGGGCACCACTCTGGCACTCAGGAGCTGCACTGTTCCTCTGCCAGAGTAAGCCTGCATGCAACATCTTGGGGTACATCCACATAGTTCTCCATTTCTTGGCAGAGATGCACCCTCAGTGAGCTATAAAGACACATGGATTGGAGCCAAGGTATCTTAAATATTGACTCATGGTCTGGGTTGGAGATCAGGGCAGACAGTTTCATTCCTCTTGGAACAATGAAACTCTCTAAAATAAGGGACTCTAAAGAATGATAACTTTTTTCAGGGGCCAGCCTAAAAATGAAGTCCCTCGGGAACAAGATGCTATTGTAAATCTCACTATCTTCTACTCCGAGGTCAACATCATTTTTTTCACATGACCTTCTCTAGCAGTCATATAGCAATACTGAAGGTGCACATATTAAGAACAAACAAACAAACAAACAAACAAGCTCATCTAAAAACACTAAACCACCCAGTTGCTCAACAGTTATACTCCTGGGGTAGAGGATGAAAGAAAACACTCTTTGCTGATTTAAGTGTCATTCAATACTGAAAGACTGGAAGATGCAGAGTGAAGACAGAGGTACAAAAGCTACAGCCAAATTACCTGTTTTTCCAATAGGGCAGGGATTTGGAGGGTCAGGATAGCCTTGATCTTCACTGAAATCCTTTGGTACATTATCACCTGTCAGCTCAGCCACAATGTTTGGGATATTGCCATAAGGACCCAAGTGCTGAAGACCCTCATGTGCACCACCTAGAAAAGACAATTTATACACACAGTCTTTTCGCAAGATTGAAAGTGTAAACGCTTTAGCTGTTTCAGTTAATTCAGACTTTGATTTAAAATATATGTATCTCTCTATATATGTAATTGTTTTAGAGACAGATCCAAGCTTAGATTTTAAGCATCTCTTACAGAAATTTAACCATGTGACCTAAATCCAGTAACTTAGGTAATGAAAAATAAAACTAGGGAACAAAATCAGCCACATATTATTATTCTTAGGGTTGTTTTTTTCCTTAATGATGGAAGTTTTAGGCAATAAGATGCAAAGAAAAACAAACATGAGACAATAATGAAATTTGATACATTTGCTGCACAAACATCTTCAATCACTGATACTGTTCACTGTAGCAACTAATAATAGAAGATGTGACAAGATAGCACCACAGCAAGAAGACAAAGTAAAAAACACTGTAAAAAAAAATAACACTATCTGCACAGCCTAGGAATACATTAATGAATTTAATCCCAAGGGGACTTAGGGTATTAAGGTCCTTGGGGACCCAGAATATTTAGCAAATTTGGTTGTATACACCTAGAAAAATTATTTTTAATTCAAATCAATTCTTAAATGTAAATTTGCATTTCCTGCAGTAATGGTGAAAAGTGATGAAGAGTCCCTGTTGTTGATGGGAATTCTTGCACATGTATACCTACACAGTAGTCAATTTAGTACAAAACATCACATTCAGTGACTTCTACATCTTTACTTATCAGTTGTAGATGCAGGCTTTTATATTTGACCTCTGGGACTCAGATCACCATCACTGCAAGGTTACAACAGCAGTGTGCAGCAGGTTTTATAACTCATTGACAGAGGACATGATGATGGGTCCACTGTTCTTGGGTAAATGCACACAGAAGTGGTGTGCTATGGCCTTCTTCCACACATCTCAGCTGGGTGCCTTGCCTTTGAAAAGTAGGGTCTTCCACTAAAGATTTGGGAAACAAGCTCAGACCACTCTCTCTATATGCCTCTCTACAAATATTTATCTGCCCCACATCTTTTCTGCAAGCTTTGTTGACCAAATGCATCCACAGGCTAAACCCTAGCTGCTTGTGGAGATTTCTAAACGCAATTATACACTACTCTTTTGAATTTCAGACAAATAAGAAGTTAGTTTCAAGCGTGTTCTTTTTGCCTGACATAAGACAGTCACCACACACTGCAGCAACCGAGATGGTTTTGTGACAGCAGCACAATATTTTTTTAAAACCCTATATAAAGAGGGGTAACAACATACAGTAAACATATAAATTAACAAAGAATGAGAAGAAAAGGAGTCTGACCAATTGGAAAATATGAGTTAAAGAGTGAATGCAGACACAACTGTTTGGGTAAATAGCACAATCACCATATTATCACCAAATAGTCTTATTTTCAATTTATGTATTTTTCATAGATCCAGAAGATGGGAATAAAGCCTCTGAACATGGAAGTTGCTCCAAAGGAATCATTCAAGTACTCCTGTCCCAAATTACAAATAAACATTACCAGCCTAAATCATCTTTTATACAGCTAAATATTGTAAGCTAACATATTCACTTGCAAAAATTGCAAACATAAGGCAGTCAAATACAAAACACAAATTTTATATTTGTTTCTCCATTTAAAAGTGGTAGTTGAGCCAAATTGTTTATATTTTGTAAATAATCAGTTGAATGTTTGGTACCAGAAGCAAGTTAGTCTATAAGCCTATATATTTCTATTTTATTTGCACAATAGTCTAAAATCTAATCAATGTGCTAATTTTTCCCCTCAAGTACAAGTCTCTTACTCTGTAATGCAATGTTGCAGAAAAGTTTTACAGATATGTAACAAATATAAAAGTACCCCTATAAAAAATTTACATCTCTGTTATATGGGGTTTTCATTTGTAGCTGACCATGAGACACAGTACTAAAAGCAGAATAGCATTATACACACTCTGAACTTTATTATACATTTATGGTCCATAGTCCACACAAAGAAGACGCTTGGAACACAATAATGTTCTGGTGCTGAGGTTAAAAAACATATAACATACATGCTATCTAATTTAATTTAATATAATGTCTAACGTATAGCATAACATTTTTCTTTTGTACTGATTTCCTTCACATGAAGATTGATTACATATATGTACTTAAAAGCATCAGGTTATGATTCTGCTGTAAACTACAGACCCACATAATCAATACATGTTTGAACATCCTGTATACAACGTGGTCCACTATGGAACAATTCATCAGATAGAAGCCTATCTATGCTTGCATGTGGTGCAGACCTCTTGGCACCAAAGCTCCATCTATAAAGAAAACAGAGGTACTTAGAAGGCTCCAGTGTGCTATATATACATGTAAGTTTAAACTGACTGCCAAGAATTCCCTTGAGTGAGTACAAACCAATCTTTTTATATTAATAAAAAGAATTGTTTCCTTTAGGTATAAATGTCCAGAATAATTTCAGGGTTTTTCCTTTCCTTTCTTTCCAAAAGAGGTGGAGACAATAGCACCTGCTCTGGTGCCATAATTTAGCACACTTGAGTGATTTAATAGCATCAGCAAAATTCATTCCTTATGATCTTTGATAAATAGTGCACTCAGCAAAGACTACAATAATAAAAATGAAATGCTATGGATATATCAAATAGGGGTATTATGTACAGAAACTCTCAAGCTGCATTAGTTTTGGTATTATAACATTATTGATTTGAAAAAAATTATTAGGATTAAATACGTTGCATCTACCAAGTCAAAATATTGTGATACAAACATATGCAGTCAGCTACAAAAATAGCACAAGACGGGTCCCTTGAACCTTCGGGAAGAGTCTGAAAGAAAAAGACAAGACAACTAAATATTGAGGAACTTTTAATAATTTCCTATCGCAAGCAACCATCAGAGACACCAGGGTTAAATTATTCAAATCTGGACTAACAAAAATCCAGAATAGTACAAACACTCTTGGAATGAGAAAGGAATGGCTAGATGTTTTTCTCATTTCTCCTTAATTCTTATATGAACAGGCTTTTCTGTGCCACATACTAAAGCAGAAAGAACATCTCCAAAATAATCAGCATGCAGGATTTCTGTGTATGTAGGTATTTTACATTCTACAGGATAAACTAGAAGCTTAGGTCTCTTGGGATGAGGTCAGTATTGTCTTAAGTGAGTTTTGGATTCTACTTAAAATAAATGCATATATGTTATCATCTGGCACTGGTCTGGAACTGTTACTGGGTGGAAAACAAAACTGGAACAATGTCTCACCTTTCTTATAATTCTGGAAAAGTATTTAATTGACTCATCAACTGCTGGTATCATCTCAATTAGAGATACTTGGAATGATTAAAAATTTAAAGTGCATACATTTCAGCTCATTTCTTTGCAGGAGCAATACTGTCTGTATGGGTCTCCCACCCATACAAACAACTTAAACACTCAATTCTTGGAGGGAAAAAGGAAAAAAATTAAAGGAAAAGAAACACAACAAGCAACTAGTTTCTTGCAAGTATTGAATATTCTCCTGACCAAACACATCTGATGGAAATGCTGTTAGTCTGCTGAAGTTCTAGCTACTGGGTACCCATCTACTGGTAGTGTAAAGCACAGCTGAAACAAATCTGCTGTTGGGAGCAATACCCCATGTCAAATACAAACAGGCAATGCTGTCCCCCAGAAGAAGTCAGTTTAAGAAAGTCAATGAGAATGGATTTTTAAAAGTGTAAAATGATTGAAGAACATTTAAAGAGAAATACTGGGACAAATTTGCCTTTCAGTCTCATTGAAACCATTTCCCATGTAACAGTGAAGATAGGGTTACCCTGCTTACAAATTCAAAAAAGAAGTAATTTTGCCAATCTTAACAAGGAGATACAAAACAGAAAGGATCATGAGGATCTATTGTGAGTAAATAAATCTGAGATCTCAAATTAAAGCCCCTTACTTTAGAGAGTCATACTAGATGCCTTAGTCTTAGTGTCCAAGTCCCTCCCAGGTGCACAGAGGAGTATTCTCCCTGAGCAAAAACTGCACCTCTTATGATCTTGACCTAACTCCAAGCAAATACGAGCTGCAAGAGAAGCCTGGTATACCTTGTCCCATCCGCCTCAGATTCCTGAAGAAGCAAACAGATTATTAATCAGAAATGCAATACCATCTTCACTACTTTGCAAAATCTTTTGTTAATCTGGACTATTTGTTCTATTTACTGAGATTGATTAAGCACAGGAAATGAGAGGCACTGAAAAAAAATATAAATTAACACATTTTGACTATTCCACAGAAGCTGCTAAATAAGAGAATAGGGAAGGAGAAGAGGCATAGGAGAACAAAGAATGGAAAAATGCAGACCTAGCCAACTTCCTTAACCATTCAAGAGCATGCCTCAGGAAACCCAAAAAGACTACAGCTATACATGCTCAGGCATCCCAGATTCCAGAGCCAGCTTGTCTTCTCCTTAATGACATAAAGTTTCTTGAAACTATGAAGACTAATTTTCCTTTTTCTCTGCAGAGCGACAAATTCCTTTCAATGTGTTTTCTAAACCCTTAAGCACACACATCATACAATTACTGACCTTGCTTTCAGTGAACAATTCAGTTTTATCCCATATTTTAATTACAAACAGTACAAATATTTAAGATATGAAAGGCTTTTGTTGTGAAATGGTTAGGACCAAAGTAATGCCCATGTCCCTCACAATAAATTTATAACAGTAGCTTATATGTCACTATTCAAATTGTATACACAATAAAAAAAATTCAGCAGCTCACGCTGACAAAGTGAAAAAAACAATCTCTTAAGCCTGCCTTGGTTGATCAGTCCTCTAATGGACTATATTTATTTGCCCTTCAGTCTGAGCAGAAGCTTTCACACCTCACTGTGTGGATAAGCTTACCCTTTTTACAAACAGTGCAACCTGCAGCACGCAGCCATGGACCCCTCTGCTGCTCTGACTTCAGCCACCCTGCATCAACAGAGTGGGG